AACAGGATGATGAAATGAAAATGAAATGAACTCTGGTGTCAGAGATTGTGGGGAAAGGCATTAAAGTGTCCTTCATAAACCTGAGCTCCACAGAGTGTGACCTCCAAATCCAAAAGCAATCCGACCCAATTTTTTTTTTGGCTTTTTGAGTCACACCCAGCGATACACAGGGGTTACTCCTGGGTTTGCACTCAGGAATCACTCCTGGCGGTGCTCAGGGGACCATATGGGATGCTGGGAATCAAACCTGGGTTGCCCGCATGCAAGGCAAATGCCCTACCCGCTGTGCTATTCCTTCAGCCCCCAGTGACCAAATTTTTATCTTGCTTCCAGCTCTATTCTGGTTCTGGGTTGCTGGAGGTCTGACCTTCCAACACTTCCTAATCTGCAGTCACTTAGTAAAATCCAGAGTCACTCTTAATTGGATAAACTTTTTTGTTCTGTTTTGTTTTAGATTACACCCAGCAGTGCTCAGGTATTATTCCTGGCTTTGTGCTCAGGGATCACTCCTGATTTTGCTCAGGGGACGTTAGGGGGTGCTGGGGATTGAACCAGAGTCCATTGCATGCAAGGCAAGTGCCCTGTTAGCTGTACTACCTCTCGGGCACCACAATAAATTCATGTTTGCCAAGTTGGTTTATGGTGAAGAGCGGTGTGCTATAATATTGTCTGCAAGCAACCCTCTGCTCCCAGTTATTTAAAATTCAAGGCTGGAGCAATAGTGTGTTACAGAGGGGGGTGGGGTGTTTGCCCTGTACACAGTAGACCTGGGTTCAATGCGTGGAATTCCATATACTCTCTTGGTCCCCTCCAAGAATGATTCCTGAGAGCAGAGCTAGGAGTAAGCCCTGAGAACTGCCCAGTGTCACCCCCTCTCCCCCAGAGAATTCTGAGAAGTGTCCTAGGTTCCCACTTGGCCCTGCTCCCAACCCAGAACTATGCTGTGATTCTTCACGTTCTGGATATTCGCATCTGGAGACCAGGAGCTGAAGGGATTTTTCTCCCATTAGGCGTCTAGATTCTCCCAGGCACCACTGATTGAGTGAGCAGGGACTCTTTGATTTGATTTTGTTTTTTGGGGGGCCACACCTGGTTCTGCACTCAGGGATCACTCCTGGCATGGACCTCATGGGTAGGGTGCTGGCGCTGGAACCCAGGTCACTGTGTGCAAGGCAAAGGCCGCCTTGCCATACTATGGGATCTCAGCAGTCTCTAGGGGAGCCTGTTTGGATGTTTCCCTGGGCCTTATGCTATCTGAGGTCAGAAAGAACTTGAATAACTGTGGGAAAAGTTACAAAGCTTTCAGGTTTAAGTCTCGGTCATACAATGATCAAACACATTTCCCTTCACCAGTACTCATTTTTCATCATCAAGAACCCCGATATAACTCCCCTCCCACCCTTCCCAATGCCTGTGAGGCAGATGATTTCTAAATATAAGATAAATATAAATAAATACAAGAAGAAAAATAAAGTAGACTAAGAACCAAATACGATGGCCTCTTAGTTTCTATATTGCAAATCATAATGCCCAAAATTAGAGAGAAAGAAGGAATGTACCTGTCACAGAAGCAGGGGATGGGATGGGGTGGGGGGTGGGGGTGGGAAGGACACTGGGAACAATGATGGTGGAAAATGTGCACTGGTGGAGGGATGGGTATTCTATCATTGTATGTCTGAAACAATCATAAAAATTTGTAAATGTATCTCACGGTGATAAAATAAATAAAAGAATAATAATAAAGTACAAAGTCTACTATCCCCCCCCCCCCCCAAAAAAAAAGAAAGGACTTGGAAGGATGTGAGCCAGGGGGAGCGGAAGGGTGGAGCTCCGGGTCATCTAAGATGCATCTGATTGGCCCTTTTCATCTCACCCGCCCTCACCGTCATCCAATCAGAGGTAGAGGATGGGCGGTGGGGGCGGGGAGATAACCCCTGGCGGAAGGATGCTCCAGTCCTGAGCCTGCTCTTGGCTCCCTCAGCTCTGCCCAGCGTGGCTGCTGGACCCGCGGGGCCGTCAACTCCTGGGCAGAGGCACTAAGCCAGAAAGATTCCAAATCAGGAAGCACTGCAGGGAGCGTGAAAACGGCCTAGGAATTAGACCAGGCGACCAGGAAGAAGTAATCAGGACCAGGTGAGGGTGGAGCCTAGGGAGTGGGAAAAAGGGGAGTGGAGGATGAATGACGTCATACCCGAGGCATCTGGACTGGACAACTGAACTGTTTAATGAACTTTTTTTTTTTGCTTTTTTGGGGGGGTCATACTCATAGATGGTCTCTGGTTCTGCACTCAGGAATTATTCCTGGCGATGCTTGGGGGACCATATGGGATCCTGAGGATTAAACTTGGCTCAGCCACGTGCAAGGCAAACACCCTACGTGCTGTACTATTGTTTCGACCCCTTAATGAACTTCTTATTTATTTATTTATTTTTGTCTTGGGTCAAACCCAGCAATTCTGAGAGCTTCTCCCTGGCTCTGTAATACAGGATCACTCCTGGCAGGGCTATGGGGGCCCAGTGGGGGTCAAACCCAGGTCATTTGTCTGCGAGACAATCACTTTAACTCATTTCAGGGACTCTCAAAGTGAACAACTTTTGTTTTGGGACCACACCAGTAATGCTCAAGGGTTACTTCTGGCTTTGCACTCAGGAATGACTCCTGGTGGTGCTTGAGTCACCATATGGGATGCCAGGGATTGAAGCCGGGCTGGCCGCATGCAAGGCAAATGCCCCCCACGCTGTACTATTGCTCTGGCTCCTTCATTTGGAATCTTTGTTATGTCAGAGGTTCTGTTTAGCTTTAGCAAGCCTTGGCAACTATGGTAAACATCAGTGACTGGTCAATTGGACAATAATCCTCTTCACAGCTTAGACCTGTTCATCCGATACTGTGTCAAAGTTTTGAGATGTTAATGAATCCACAATAAATGTCCGTTCATAATGAATGTCAGTGTTTTTATTTCCCGGTGGAAGCATCTTTGTTTATTCTCCTGCCCCTGGACATGGGAGAATAGAATCTGTCTCCCTCAGGCACTGGGGATACCCCTTTGTTGCTGATAGCAACGTTGAACATTGCTGCCTGACCCCATTCCTCATAGCCCTGGGAACTGTAATAAACCTCTTTCAATGTTTCCTGGGTGTTGGCTAACTCAGGTGAGTGTTGCAGTGAAAATGATGGCCACGTTGAGTTACACATAGATTTGGTCAGGAAAATGTCGGTGACTCCTTCCCAGGTGAATGGTTCCTTGTTTGTAGTCAAGAAAATCATTATCGGGGCTGGAGCAATAGCACAGCGGGTAGGGCATTTGCCTTGCATGCGGCCGACCTGAGTTCGATTCCCAGCATCTCATATGGTCCCCTGAGCGACGCCAGGAGTAATTCCTGAGTGCAGAGCCAGGAGTAACTCCTGTGCATTGCCGGGTGTGACCCAAAAAGCAAAAATATATATATACATATATATATATATATATATATATCATTATCCACTGGTGGAGTATAATGTAAATAAACTTAGATGCCAGAGAGCAAAGCACTTGCCTTTTACATGGATGATTGGAGTTTGTCTTTTCTTTCTTTTCTTTTTTAAAAAATTTTTTATTAGTGAAACACCATGAGGTACAGTTGTAGACTTACAAATTTTTGTGCTTGGGCTTCACTTATACAGGCTGATCCGAGTTTGATCCCTGGTATCGCTTATGGTCTCTGAGCACTGCCAGGAGTGATTTCCTGAGTGTTGTGCTAGGAGGAATCCCAGAGCATCGCTGAGTGAGGCCCCAAAACAAAAATAAGAAACTATCGCTATCCATATGCTCAAGCAGAATTAGGGCAACTCGTCACAGCAGGAGTTAAGGTTGTTGTAACTGAAAAAGCATTTTCAGGTACCTCTAGAGGAAAGTTAGAGAAATAAACTTAGGTGCCAGGGTGTAATATTTTCAAATCGAGTGATGATTATTGGAGGGAAATAAGAGGAAATCATTTGGCATGAGAAGAAGGGAGTGTTACAAAATCTCAGGTGCCCGTGAAAGAATCCAACCTCTCTTGATCCAAAGCTCAGAAATTAACTTTGGGGAATACCCCAAACTGGATGGTTAAAAAAATGTTTCTGTCAGGGGCTGGAGCAATAGCACAGCGGGTAGGGCGTTTGCCTTGCACGCAGCCGACCTAGGTTCGATTCCCAGCATCCCATATGGTCCCCTGAGCACCGCCAGGAGTAATTCCTGAGTGCATGAACCAGGAGTAACTCCTGTGCATAGCCGGGTGTGACCCAAAAAGCAAAAAAAAAAAAAAGTTTCTGTGGGGCCAGAGCAAGTGGGACGCCTATCTTGCACATGGCTGACCTGGGTTCAAAGCCTGGCATCCCACAGGATCCACAGAGCCCTGCCGGGAGTGATCCCTGAGTGCAGAGCCAGGAGTCAGCCCTGAACATCGCTAGATGTGGCCCCCAAATTTTTGCATCAGAGCAGACGCTTAATAAAGTGAACTTGGGCGGGAACAGCAGGAAAGGCTCTTGGCTTGCATAAGGCTGACCTGGATTCAATCCCTGGCATCCTATTATGGCCCACAGAGTTCTGCCAGGAGTGATCCCTGAGTGCAGAGCTAGGAGTCAGCCCTGAGCATTGCCAGGTATGCTCCCCCCACCCCACATTTTTTTAATTAAAAAAAAACACAACAGGGGCTGGAGCAATAGCACAGAGGGTAGGTCATTTGCCTTGCATGCAGCCAACCTAGGTTTGAATCCCAGCATCCCATATGGTACCCCGAGCACCGCCAGGAGTAATTCCTGAGTGCATGAACCAGGAGTAACTCCTGTGCATCGCTGGGTGTGACCCCAAAAGCAAACAAACAAACAAAAAAAAACACACAACAAAGTGAGCTATTGAGTTTGTACAGCAGTCATCCCAAGAAAACGAACCTTCTCAGAGATCCAGAATCAAGTTCTAATGAAGATCAGATGTGAGGAGAGCAATTTCCCGCCTCCACATCTTGTCATCACGGGCCTTTCAGGCACTCGCTGCGCCAAGGATTCTTTTCAGAGCCCTCTTTAAGTCTTTGTTCCTGAGGCTGTAGATGAAGGGGTTCAGCATGGGGGTGACCACCGTGTACATCACTGAGGCGATGGCACTGGCATGGGAGCTGCGGGAGGCAGCAGAGCTCAGGTACACGCCAATGCCCGTGCAGTAGAAGAGGGAGACCACGGAGAGGTGGGAGGCACAGGTGGAAAACGCCTTTGACTTGCCCTGAGCCGACGCCATGCCGCAGATGGAGGAGACGATCTTAGTGTAGGAGTAAAGGATGCCCGTGAGGGGTCCGCCGCCCAGCACCCCGATGGCCGTGTACAGCACAATGTCATTCAGCAGAGTGTCAGAACAAGCCAGCCGAGCCACTTGATTGATTTCACAGAAAAAGTGGGGGATTTCTAGAACCATGCAGAAGGACAGTCGCAGCACCATGAAACTTTGCAGTATGGAGTTCAGGGCGCTCATGATCCAGCAGCCCAGAACCAGCAGCCCACAGAGCTGCGGGTTCATGATGACCGTGTAGTGCAGGGGGTGGCAGATGGCCACGAAGCGATCGTAGGCCATCACGGCCAGCAGGAAGTTGTCCAGTATGGCAAAGATGATGAAGAAATGCATCTGGGTGATGCAGCCTTCGTAGGAGATGGCTTGGCTTTTTGTCTGGATGTTCTGGAGCATCTTGGGGACGGTGGTGGAGATGAAGCAGATGTCCACCAAGGAGAGGTTGGAGAGGAAGAAGTACATGGGCGTGTGGAGGTGGGGGTCGGTGATGGTGGCCAGGATGATGAGCAGGTTCCCCAAGACCGTGACCAGGTACATGGACAGGAAAAGCCCGAAGATGAGGGGCTGTAATTCTGGCTCCCTTGATAATCCCAGAAGGAAGAATTGTGAAATTTTGGTGTAATTCTCTGTTTCCATGTGTAAGTAACTACCAGGAAGGGGGAAAATTAAGAACATAATGGCTAATTTTCTCCAAACAGAACATGACTAACGTAAGTTGAAATTCTACAGTTGATATTTTTCAGAAAAATACATTGGCACTTGGGCATGGAATTTTTTTTTTCTTTTTGGGTCACACCCGGCGATGCTCAGGGGTTACTCCTGGCTCATGCACTCAGGAATTACCCCTGGCGGTGCTCAGGGGACCATATGGGATGCTAGGAATCGAACCTGGGTTGGCCATGTTGGCTGCGTGCAAGGCAAACGCCCTACCCGCTGTGCTATCGCTCCAGCCCCTGGCATGAAAATTTTAGGGAATCCCCTAGGTCATATATAAATAGGAATTTGTCTTATTCACAGTCTCCCACGTGCGAATGTATTGTACCATTAAATTTTACTTTAATTTTCAGTGGGAGGGGAGCAATTTTTTTGGGGTGCCACACCTGGTGGTGCTCATGACTTACTCCTGACTCTGCATTCAGGGATTAATTCTGGTGGTGTTCAGAGACCGTATGGGATGCCGGGGATCGAACCTGTGTCAGCTGTGTCAGCAAGGCAAGTGCCATACCCATTCTACTATTGTTCTGGCTCCAAAAAGAAAATTTTATTATTTTTTTTAACTGAATTGTTTTTTGTTCTTGGGCCAGTCTGGCAATGCTCAGGACTTACTCTCTCCTTTGTGCTCAGGAATCACTAATGGGAGTGATTAGGGGACCATCTGGGAGCCTAGGGATTGAACCTGGCTCAGCTGTGTGCAAGGCAAGTACCCCACCCACTGTACTATCACTCTGGCTCCTGAAATAAATGTTTTTTTTTTTATGTAGGAGCACTGTTGTTTATTCAGGCACTGATTAAGCTGAATGAAGTGGGCATGCACTCCACATTACTTAAAAAATTTTTTAAAAAATTGAATATCCATGAGAAAGACCATTACAAGACCATTACCATAATTGGGTTTCAGTCATACAGTGATCTAGCACCCATCCCTCCACCATTGCAATTTCCCACCAGTATTGTCTCCTGTTTCCCTCCCACCATCCCACAGTACCCCCCCCCCCCCACCTCCAGCCTCCCAGCCTCCATTCATGGCAGGCACTTTCCTTCTCTCTCTCTCTCTCTCTCTCTCTCTCTCTCTCTCTCTCTCTCTCTCTTGCGCGCGCGCTCTCTCCTTTTCCTTTTGTGCTTTATGGTTTGCAATACAAGTACTAACAGCTAAGAGATTATCATGTTTGTTCAGGAAACAAAAAAATGGCCTTCCCTGCTGAACATATTCCCTAGCTCACAAGAGCTCATACATTCAAACTCCAGTAAGCAAAAAGAGTCCACGGAAACATCATCTACACTGATGACTTCTCAGCTTTGTCTCTTGGGATGAGAGAATCATTAGGACAATTTCTTTTCTGTCCAGACACTTTCAGTGTCTTGAAATAAAATCCTTTTCTTCTGGGTCACACTCAGCAATGCTCAGGGGTTGCTTCTCACTCTGCACTCAGGAGTCACTCCTGGGGGTGCTTGGGGGAACCATATGGGATGTCGGGGATTGATCCTGAGTCGGAGGCATGCAAGGCAAATGCCCAACCCGCTGTACTATCGCTCCAGCCCCTAAAATCTTAATAGAAATTCAATACTTACTGAAAGAAAAGACAAAATCGTAACTTTCTGGGCCAGAGAGATCATACAGCAGCTTGCCTTACCTGTGTCCGTTCTGGGTTCTCTCCCTAGCACTGCATATGGTTCCCTGAGTCTGTCGGGAATAAACCCTGAACATCTCACGATGTGGCCCCCCAAACCCAACCCAAACAAACAAGCAATGCTGTCATCTCGAGATGCATCTACAAGTTAAATTTAAAGTGTTAAAGACCTGGAAGTGAAAAATACAAAAATAATAGACGAAGGGCTGGAAAGATAGTACCGGGCATAAGGTGCTTAACCTTGCATGGTAGCCAACTGGAGTTCAATCCCTGGCATCCCATAGGGCCCCCCGAGCATTGGCAGGAGTGATTCCTGAGAGCAGAGCCGGGAGTAACCCCTGAGCATCACCGGGTGTGCCCTTACCCCACCCCAACAAAACAAAACAATAAACTAGCAATTTAATTGCTTTGAAGAACAGCGAAGGGAATGTTCCCCACAGTTAAATGTAAGTGAATACGTATGTACTGATAGGAAAAATCTGAGACAATCATTCATAAAGTCTAAAGGATGTCCTCAAGGGGGAATAAAAGAGGGCTGTTGGGGCTGGAGAGATAGTACATCGGGTAGGGCGTTTGCCTTGCAAGCGGCCGACCCGGGTTCGATTCCCAGCATCCCATATGGTCCCCTGAACACCGCCAGGAGTAACTCCTGAGTGCAGAGCCAGGAGTAACCCCTGTGCATCGCCGGGTGTGACCCAAAAAGCAAAATAAATAAATAAATAAATAAAATAAAAAATTTAAGCGTCAAAGCAAAACGGTATTTCTAGAGACAAACAGCCAAGCATCGGAACGCACAACCTAAGAACACGGGGTGACACTGACGGTGCAGGAAGCTGCTTTATGGTTCAAAGGGAGAAACTAACTGATGATGTAACTGATGATAGAATTCTCTGCACAGAATTTGCAAGGATTCATAAATGCCACCCCCCGCCCCCACCCAGCCACACCTCTAAATGACCCGTGGAAAAATGAAATGACAAAGAGCAAAGTCGGAGGCAACGTGCTCATGTTTGTTTGAAAGTATGTTTTCACAAATAATAACAATGTCAGACCCCTGTGGATCAACTCCATAAAGAACTTGCACACGAACCACGGGCAAGCAAAGTGACAAGCCACCGGGCTCAAACATCTCTGCGTCCTCCTCAAGAATGACATAATTCCAAAATAGCAACCTTAGCATTCTTTTTTTGTTTGTTTGTTTGTTTTTTGCTTTTTGGGTCACACTGGGCGATGCCCAGGGGTTACTCCTGGCTCTGCACTCAGGAGTTACTCCTGGCGGTGCTCAAGGGACCATATGGGATGCTGGGAATCCAACCCGGGTTGGCTGCGTGCAAGTGGGCCCTACCCACTGTGCTATCTCTCCAGCCCCCAACCTTAGCATTCTTTAGTATTACTCTCTTTAGTATTTCTTATTTAGTATTCCTCTAACTAGTGTTGCTAAATACTAAATATCAGTAATACTAAATATTTCTCTTTTTAGTATTCCTGGTCAGATTTTCCTTAACAGTTGTTATGGAGATTTGCAATATACTATGCTAAGGGGGATCTCAAGAAATTTGTGTGTGTGTGTGTGTGTGTGTGTGTGTGTGTGTGTTTAGCAGGTGGGACAGGTAACACCCAGTGATGCTCAGGGGTGACGCCTGGCTCTGGGCTCAGGAATCCCCTGCGGTGCTCCAGAATACTATATGGAATGCTGGGTATTGAACCCCGATTGGCCGCATGCAAGGCAAATGCCCAACCCGCTGTGCTATCATTCCAGGCCCCCTTGGTGGTCAATCTTGGTTCCTTATATCCCCAAATCCAGCAGACACTTCTCTCTCTCTCTCTAATATGCATATCAACCCATGATAAATCAACTAGAAACAGAAGCAACACAGAAATATCCCCCAGGTGTCTGGTCCAGGCTGACTGGCCTTTCCGATTGGTGCAGGGAAAGGCATTCAGCTTCTCTTTACCCCGAGACAAATTTCTGTGTTACGTGCTGGCCTCTCACACTCACCGGTCCAGGAGTTTTGAAAGGCAGACCTCTGCCCGAAAGCCCAAATTCCTCACTAGACAGTTGATAATGGAGAAGAAATCTCTGTCCTCAGGCCAGCCATAATCAGGAAGGAAGGAGCAGCCCATCAATTCCTGAGCCAGACTTAGAAATTAAAACCAACCCACGCCTGGTTCTGTCCCGTGCTGGACAAGCTCAGAGGCTTGCTCCAGTGATAATTTTTCACATCTCTCTGTCCCTGATCATTAGTGTTTCTTCCCTCTTGTTACTCCAAAGCTCTCAGCATGCAAGTCCCCTATGGGGCACGGGTCTGGACAGAAAACAAATTTTCCTAATGATTCTCTTATCCCAAGAGACAAAGCTGAGAAGTCATCAGTGTAGATGATGTTTCCGTGGACTCTTTTTGCTTACCGGAGTTTGCATGTACGAGCTCTTGTGAGCTAGGGAATATGTTCAGCAGGGAAGGCACTTGCCTGGCACGTAGAGGACCAGTGTTCCATCCTGGCACTGCATCAAGTCCCTGATGTCTATAGAGACACACACCTCTAGAGTTAATGCATTCTTTCCTGGAGTCGTTGAAAGGAACCCAGCCCTGCGGACATTCAGATGTTACAGCAGACACACTGATGCGTGCCAGGCTCTCAATTTCCCTAACTCTTTAAATTTTTTTTGAGTAATTTATTTCCATTAAAGAACTGTGATTTACAAAGTTATCAATAATGACCTTTAAGCATATAATATTTCAACATCAGTCTCACCACCTGTGTCAACTTCCCTCCATTGGTGTTTCCATATTTCCTCCCTACCCACAACCCCCGCCCATTACCCAACAGGCACATGACAAAGTTCTAGCTTTTTTCGTTGTTGAATTAAAAAAAATTTTGTTGTTGTTGTTGTGGTGGTGGTGGTGGTGGTGGTGAGTCTTACCAATACTATTTAGCTACACCCTGATCATAGACTTGATATTTTCTTACCTCAGAGGAGTATTTCTTTGTGTATCTATAGCACAACTTTATATTTTTTGGGCGGAGGGGGCCACACGTGGCTATGCTCAGGGGTTACTCCCAACTCTGCACTCAAGAATGACTCCTGACAGTGCTTAGGGAGCCCTATAGGATGCTGGGGATCAAACCTAGGTCAGTCTCCTGCAAGGCAAGCGCCCTACTCGCTGGGCTGTCTTTCTGGTACCAATCTTGCATAACTTCTTGACACACTCACCGGTCTTTGAGCACTTGGGTTATTTTCAGATCTTGAGTATTGTGAACAGTGCACAATACATGATGAAAGCCTGT